CCCCAAAACCCCAAAACCCCAAAACCCCAAAACCCCGATTCTAACTAAAATTATTGAAATCTTTAATTTAGATTTAAATTTGTTGGCTCAACAAATTAGAGACATGTCTGCAATTGATCAAATAGACAATCCAAACAGCCTGGGCTTACCATCGATAGCATATGGATACATCTAAGCCTTGGTAAATAATTATCAAAAATTAAGTATTGACTACAGCTAACCACTGTAGGAATATATTTGCCAAGACTTTAGGCAGGTGGGTAATCTCCTGTACAACTGTGTGATACTTGAATGGGAAGTCTTCTAGATACTTCGTTATCTTATACTCTCCTTTGCCCTTGTCATCCTTAATGAACTGGGCGCTCTTCATATTAAACACTGAGTTCTTAGAGTCAATACTGTAGTTGTCCAGGAGAATAAACATGTAAAGATAGTTCTTCTCCTCTGCCTCCATAATGTATGGAAGTACCTTCTTCTTATTAAACCTTCCATCAGAGATAATGAAGACTATGTTCTTGTTTGAGGAATGCAAACTGTCGAGCAGCTTGTTACAGTCCTGCATGAAATTAGGAATTGATGTATCCGCACTTGCATGTGACTTATACTCAAAGGAGTAGTTTGATATAGTGAATGCTGCCTTTTCAGCGGAATAAGTATCCTCAAATGACATGTGCATGTTAAGGCGATCGTTTATACCACACAAGCATACTTTTCCAACGTTCAATTGATTCAATGCTTCGCTGATAGCGACAAGGGATTCTAATGCGAAAAATCCAAGGTTGTTATTCTTCATGGAAAGACTATCATCGATCGCAATCATTACTCTGTAATCTCTATTGAATGGCATTTCTCTTCTAAGCCAGATTTTATCATTCCTATAATTCGAGGCAATAAATGGGATGATCTTCTTGATATTGATCCTTTTACCACTCTTATAGTCTCCCCTGAGCCTACTCTTTTCTGTAGGCTCCAGGATGATCCTCATTTGTTCTCACAGAGATATAGAAAGATGATTTGTCTTCTTCTTAAAGTTATTCAGAAGTTCATAACTAGAGGAGACTTGGTCTTTATCTTTCCTCCAGCTTTCATACCTCTGTATCATATCTTTCTTCAACTGGAGTACATCAAGGGATGACTCATCGAGCTTATACTCTTCTTTTTCTAGTTGAATCTGCTCCTCCTCTTCACTGTCATCTTCCATCTGTGCGTCATCGTTATGATCTGCATTCTCATGGGGATCGTCAGGCTGATCTGTCTTCTCTGTCTCTTCCTTCTGCTTCTTCTCTTCCTCTTTCTTTTTGTTCTTGTCATCTAAGTATTTTTGGTAGAACTCATTTGTCTGAATCATTGACTTGACTGGGTCCTCATCCTTGACTTCATTAAGGTCTTTATCTTTCTCTTCTTCATCTTCCATTTCTTCATTATCTTTTTCAGGAGCTGGTGCTTCTTCAGGCTCATTCTCCTGATCATCCTCAGGTTGCATATCCTCGTCGTTATACTTTACTGTGTCAGCAACGTTTGATCGTTTTTCTTTGGCTTTGTCATCCTTGGCGAAATCCTCTGCATTTTCGTCGTCCTGATCATCTTGTCCCTCAGCTTGTTCGGGAAGGTCCTCTATTTCTTCGACGTTTTCAGCCTTTTTCATATTTTGGTCTTCATTTCGTTCCCCTTCTTTGGGCTTTTTCTGTTCTTCCTTCTTCTCTTTCTCCAAATATTGTTGCATGACCTGGAAGAGGTAGTCATTATCTTCTGTGTTGTAGTCCTTCTGCTCTTCATTAGCTTGGTTATCATCCTTCTCTTGGTCCTCTTGTTTCTGGCCTTTTTCCATGTTGTTACCCATAGAGTTGTTTTCCTGCTTCTTGTTGTTCTGAACTTGTGATGCAATAGCTTCATCCTCTTCATCAGGCTGCTGCTCTCTCTCAGCATCGACATCAGGGTCTTGGTCAGGATTGTCTTCATCAAGTTGTTCTGATTCAGCTTGGTCTTCCATTTGCTCATCTTTGCCTTCTTCACTGCCACCATCCATATTTTCAAGATCATCGATGTCAAAGTCATTTTGGGCATCATCGTCTGGTTCCGGTCCGTCATTATTATCTTCTTCCTTGGTAGGATCGAATTTATGCTCGCCTTCGACTGACATTTCTTCGTCTTCATCTGAGCCCTCCTCCTTTTGGATTTCTTCTTCAGCATCTGGGTCTTGATCCTCTGGTTCTTCGTGGTCTTCCTCAGCTTCTTGCTGAACTTTGTCATCGATATTGACCTGAGGTTGTTCTTTATCCTCTTCGTCTTGCTGGTCATTAATATCATTCTTTTGTTCGTGGTCGATCTCTGTTTCCTTTTGGTCATTCTCCTTATTGTCTTTCTTGTCATCTTCTTCTTCATCACCTTTGGCTTCCATATCCTTATGGTCTAGGTCAACTTCCTTGTCAAGGTCCATTGGGGGCTTGCTGTCATCCTGGTCCTTGGCTTCTTCGTCTTCGCTCTCAGAGATCTCATTGTCTTCGTTGAATAGCTCATTGTCAAGCTTGTTATCGACATCGTCCATTTCGTCATCTAGCTGTTGGCTATCTACCTCATCGTCTTTGTCTTTTCCCTCTTCTTCTTTCTTCTCTTCATTGGTTCCTTCAAAGTCGTTTTTCATATCGAAGGCTTTATCTTCTTCCTTATTGTCTTCAGGTTTTTCATCAGGTTGTTCATCAGGATCACCTTGATCATCCTTAAGACCTTCAAGTTGTTCTTCGTGTTCGATTTCGTCACTGACGTTTTGCATGCCTTTGCCTTCGCCCATACCTGTTCCATCGTGGACATCAAAGTTTTCACCTTTTTCTCCCTCACCTTCTTCCTCTTCTTGGTCACGATCCCCACAAAATCCGTTGTAGGTCAGGTTCAGGAAAAGAGTGAGAAGGATGTATAATAGCTTTGCAAGAGACTTTTGGTACCTAAGAAGCCTCTCCACTGTCTTTATGAGTAATATGTGCGTGTCCATGGTGAGGATGCTGAGATGGATAGACCCACTCTGAGCTATAATCTTCTCATATTTACTCAGTTTTTGGTATATACTCAAAGTTTCAAGGATATATGACAGTTCATTTACGTGCTTATCAACCCCTTCAGCTTGTCCTTTCTCAGCCTTCTCAGGATCAGTCTTGTCAATCTTGGTAAGCTCTTGGTAGAGAAGTTTTGTGTATTTCTCATAAGCTTCAAATACCTTCTCATCCTTGATATTCTCACTTGTTTCACACAAGGTTTTAAGATCAATTTCTAGTTGACTAAGCTCGTTGAGGAGGTCAACTACAATGTCTTCGTCATAGTTAGAGCACAATTTTTGATAATCGTCATCAATATTTTGCTTGATGTTGGAAATATTTTCAAGAATCTCCTGTGCTTTCTCTACAGTCAGGATGCAACCTCTAATCTGAAGGTAATAGTTATAGTCTTTCTGTAGGTTAATTCCAAGAATCATATTGATACGTTCCAGAGTCTCTGTAAGTCTAGTCAGGATTGACTTGGACTGAGCCAAATCGAGAACTTTATAGTATTCCAAGCCAGAGACATCTTCTGGTTCGTTCTTTAACTGCTCAAGGATTATGCTATGCTTGAACTTGCCTGTGGTTGAAGAGATGGAGTTATCTCTCAAGATGTCAATAACACTGTTCATGTTCTTGCTATAAGTCAGTAATTTGTAGTAGAGAGATCCAGTGAAATTTCTCATATATGAGATTTCATTATTCTTGATATCGTCACTCTTCTGGAAACTGCTACTGAATATCAGTAGCAACTCAAAGTTTTTATAGAAGTAGAACTCATTCCTAGTCATCACGTAGCTCATGGAGTCACTGATCCTGATTGAAGGGTGGCAATATAAGAACCTGACATCCTCGTAGTCAATATATTTACTACTTCTATTAGCTTCAATGATCCGTTTGTAATTTGGTGAAATATCTTGAGATTTCAAGAACCTGAATAACTCATTAAGATCGCGTCTCTGAGACGATACTTTCTTTTCCCACTCGTCTAGGATCTTGCTGATGATTTCGATGTTCTTCTCTTCAATGAAATTATGACTATTCCATTTCTCAAATATCTGATTCTTAGAGATATGCCTGAGTCTTTTGATAAGGTCTGGATTAGCAATTTTTGCATAGTCTCCCTTTCTGACCATAGAGACTGGATCTTTGTTGAGGTCAGCGAATTCTCCTCTCACATTTGTAGCTGCAGTCTTGTATTGGCCGATAATCTCCTCTCTATTTTTAGCAATTACAGTCCTTGTCAGATCCTGGTCAAGAACATTTCGGCTATAATGATTCATTCATTTGTTAAGTTGTCTGTAAGCTCTTCCTACTGTCGACTAAAGGATGAGGAAAATAAACTTACGGTCTCAAATTTCTGGACGCTCCACTTGGACACATCAACAACTGTTTTGATTTTCTCATCAGTCTCTTTTTGAAGTTCCTTCATCACATCAGCATGCTTGGTCTCCATCTGTTTATAATACATGTACACAAAATGAAGGATATTTGAGACTCCTTTCTTCCCAATAGAGTCCATCTGGCTTTTGAGGATATTCAAATGAAGAAGCCTGTTGTTGAACTGACTGAGGTCACTATCTCTCATGTACATATCAACTGCATCGAATACCTTATCATACTCAATTCCTTCCTGTTTGATCACTTCTGTATTGAGTGCATAGGTGAGGTGAATGAAGTTGTCGTAGTCATCTACAAGAGCCTTTTCAAGTTTACTGTGCATCATCTGCTTCCAAGACACGATCTGGATCTTCCTGAATCTGATTATCAATAATTTGCATGTATTAATTTGGTCCTGCACTGAGTTAAGCTTGCATGCAATTTTAGAGTACTCTTCCAACTTCTGGAGCACCAATTCCAATCCTGTTAAGACCTTCTGCAATGGTGTCCTGTAGCAGTGGAAGCTAAGGATTTTGTTACAGTATGTGACAACATCTACGAGGACTGGGTGGTCACCCCAGTCTTCCAATAGGACTAGACATCTATGAATGATCTTTATCATTGGTGCATATACCAGCTTTATCTCTGTGAAGTATGGATCTTCATAGAAGTTGTAGTTCTCTGGGAAGTCCTTCCTTGATACTTGGAGGGTAATCTTAGTCTCACTCATCTTGCTTTCCTTAATCAATGCTTCAAAGCACTGTTTTATCTTGAGGTACATTACTTTCCTCTCAGTATGGGTCAAAGACTCTTCGATCTTGTCTTGAGATTGCCTTGAAAAAATTGTTTGGAATAATTTTGAAATTTCTCCAAACTTCTCAGTTAAGACTGCAGATTCACTGACTGTTTTAATATCAGAGTTCTTGCTTAAAATGGAGTCCCTCTTCTGGAGCAAAGCCTTGTATGTTTTGAGAAGTTTGTGGAAACACTTCTTTTTCTCAGACAAGTTCCTGAAGGAATTAAAGGACATGATGTCAGGCTCATCTTCCGGTTCTTCATAGTCTGCATTTTGGACCTCTTCTTTAGAAAATATCCTATCTTTATCAAACTCTTCATGGTAGGTTGGGAAGTTCTGGGCGATTTCTTGTCGTTCCTCCTCTTCTTCTCTCTCTTTGTCCTTCTGGGTTTTGTCGAATATCGACTTGCTGATCTTCATCAAGTGCTCAATCTGAGGAGTAATTGGGATTTTAAATAATCCTTTTAGTTCTTCCTTCTCTGCAGTCTTGAGGTCTCTATCTCTCCTTTCTCCAACCTCGAGCCTGACTAACTCCTGCACTTGGTGATGCATACTATCGATAATAGAATCAATCTGGATTTTAGAGTTAGCATACTGAAGCATGCTCAATGGGTTCTCATAAAGCGCTGGGTAGTTTAGTATCTTCCGATGCAACTTTTCACTCGAGTTCAGATCTTTGAGTCTCTCACAGATTACTAGGGAAGATGCCATATCATTAGCCAGTCTAATCAGAGTTAGAATAAACGGTCCGATTAGATATCCAAAGTCATGATAGAATGCTTTATAGAGACTTATAGCGATACTTGTGACAGATCTCAACTTGTGATGTGACTCATTCATATCAATATCTTTGGTATTCCTTAAGCAGCTGAAAATATCTTGAGCAAGTGTACTCAAAGATTGGTTGTGAAGATTGTCTCTATAGACTTCTTTCAATTTTATCAATAACTGCTTAACTTGGCCTCTCTGGCTTTCATAATTCTCAGGCATTTTATCAATATTGGTCTTGAGCTCCTTCTCTATCATCTTTAGGTCTGCAATAACCTTCTCAGTCTCAGCAGATGGAGTTGATACTAGTGTAAGTTGGTAATAATAGATGCTCTGAGATAGAATTTCATTTACTTTATCTCCAAAGTCATATTTTTGCCTATCAATTTTATACGGAAGCACAAAGATACTCTCAACATCGGAGAGAGTGGAGAAAGAGTTCAACAGACTCATATCATGATAAATCTCTACCAAATTTAGTAATCCTTTGAGATGGAGTTGGCCTTCAATACTTGTATATGTCTGAGTGAATCCTGTCTCTTTCAGGAATTTACAATGCTCGATCAAATGTTGGCATTCTTCTACCTCTTTCAACACATCAGATGCAGTCTCATGAACTTTCTCGAACAAAGCACCAAAGTTAGTGTCATATTCATAGAAACTTCTGAGATGCTCGTCACATTTTTGTGAGAAAGTATCCAGCCCATTCATGAGTGGAGATTTCTCCATAAATGATTTATAATACTTGTTGTTCTCAAAAACTTCAGACATGTCAGTAAAATAAGCTTTGTTCTTGTTGTTATTCATGTACTTCTTCTTTGCCTGGTTAACTAGCTCAAGTGTCCCATAAATATGCCCAGGAAGGTTCCTGATACTCGACACAAAGTTCCATTTACAGCAGATCTCGAGGATAGCAGATAACTTAGATGGCTCAGAAATAGTTCATAACTTATTTTGATTAAACTTGAAAGAACTGAATTTCCCAAAGGATTTCATGATCTCTGTTGAGATAAATTCATCATCGACATAACTTCTAAAGGGATACTCTAAATCTTCGAACTGAGTGTTGTTGATCACTGCAAGTTTGGATCCCATAATTCAGACTCACCTATCATTCAAGTCCTTTGGGATAATGCATAGTCTACGTATACCTGCTTCTTCGAGAATTTCAAAATCTACCTTTTCATGAAGAATAATTCCCCTGCTTTCTTGAATTTCAATGAGGTAAAATTTATCCAAGAACTTCACATCTGGAACTGGTGTTGGGTTCAGGTCGATAAACAGTAAACTTTCGGTTTCCTTCTTTGAGCTGATCTTCTTAAATTTACTCAAAGCTGTCTCTGAGCTTGCTGAATTTGCTTTGACTACATTAAGACTCAACTTCTCTGAAGTATCATTCTGTTTCAAAAAGAGATCAAATAGCTCTGCATCTGCTGAATTCTCAAAAATTTGGTTCAACTCATCACATAGCTGAAAAATATAAAATAAAGGATTACCTGTTCTAGGCCTTCTACTTTGGAAATCCATGGCTTTATCTGGTGCAGGAATAAGATTACAGTGATCATGTCAAACCCTTGGTATTGAATTTGGGACAAATACTGATTCCAAAAATAGATGATATTAGCTGCTAATTCTTCTTTAAACCCCATTTCTATACCATAGTTGTTCACAAGAATACCTTGATCAACCGTCTGGCCTGCTTCAATTTGACTGACAAGGTGATTAAATAGCTAAAAGTTAACCCATAATTTGTACCTCAATCATCACTTTGGTTACTACTAGCTGTACATTATCTTTAGATGTCTTGTAGACCTTCTGGTCTAACATTTTCTTAACTTCATCAACCTCTGCCAGGATGGAGTCTATCTCGACTAAGATGCAGAAGTTAAAGGCTGATGTTCTTCTATCTAATCCTGCATCTAGTAAGTTCTTGGTATTGTTAGTAAGCCTCATTAAATCAGGCCAGCTTGACTCAGACCGACTGCTTATGTACTGAAGTATCTCCTTCTGCTCAACTACATCATACATTCCTTTCAAGTGTAGTGAGAATATTGACAAAACTTTGGTGGTGATCTTCTCTAGAGTATCCTTGGGCAAATCTGTGTACTTCTGTTGACCACCTAGATATTAGAAACCCGCTCACTTACTATTTCTTTTCCTCTTTTTACCTAACTGCTCATCCGAGTCACTCTGAGACTCAGCGATTTTGTGTAAATTACACAAGAAAGAGAATTTTGAGAATAAATTATTGATTTCAACCAAAGGAGTGTTTCAGTCGTATCACTCCTGAGTCCCAGACTTCTCTTCATCATGTCAGAATCAGTCAAATTCTCCGTTGTAACCAACAGGTGAATAAAAGGAGTTCTTGACTGAGTCTAAGAATGCCTGAATATACTCATAAATCCCTTCAGTGGAGTATCCCAGGTCTCCCAGTTGGACAAATGGGGTAGATGCTGTATCAAATAGATCGTCTAACTGATCCTGCTTGAGTGGGTGGTCATACACCTCATGAAAAGCATGGCTTATCAGTTCTCTTATTTCGTTGCTGACTTCCATATTAATATTATTTACACTCCAATTCTGTGTCGTGTTTTAGGGGTTTTGGGGTTTTGGGGTTTTGGGG